AGTGGATAGGCGATTATAGATTTAAAAGTAAGTCATTTAGCATGATTTGATGACCCATGAGGTTAAATATCTGATATCTGCCATTTACAATAACTATAGGGAAATCAGTAGAAATTTTCGCATGATATCAAAAACTCCTAATATCTCAACCGAAATAAACAACCAGTTAGCACTTGAAGTTTTAGTAATTTAAAAGGTTTGAAGTGTGGAAATTTGAAAAATTTTAACACATTGTTTTGAAAACTGGTAATAATTTGAAATTCTCCACCTCATGGTGAACACTATTTCATTTCATCGATTGGGCATGATCATGTAGAACAATAAGCCAACCATAATAGCTGTAAATATGAGTAGGTACTTTTATTTTTATATTTACTTCTACCCAGGTGGAACAATCAATATAGCTGAAAAGATCACTTATAAAATTTGCAATAACCGACGGAATTTTTCCAGTAGAATTCAAATGCAATTCTGTTTCCAGGAATCCGATTGGATTTTGTTGGATGGTCGGATCCAGCATCGGATTTGTTGACATGGGTAGCTGATATGCAGATTAGTTTTATACGATGTTTACGGAGGACCATTAAATAGTACAACAAGTTTTTTTTCTCCATCTGCTCGATATGTCAACATTGAATTCTCATACACTATTCAAATTTAGGCATGGAAGGAATGTTCCCTTTGAAAATTTCCGTATTCAATCAATCCGAGGGCTAATTGGACGGTACGCACAGCTCAGAAGAGCACTAGGACATCCAGCCAGCGGAGAGAATCCATTGTGTTCAACTCAACGTCATTTCTCGTCGTCAGCTCCTCCAACTGCAGCAAAGAGAAGCGCGCAAAGATATTGTATAGTTTGTAGTCAAACTTGCAAGCGAGAGAAAAGACGAACTGACACACGTTATCAATGCGCTGTTTGTGATATCGGTCTATGTGTCGTAGACTATTTCGAAGTGTATCATACTTTAAAACAGCTTTGAGTGCTTTTCTAGCAGAATAAAGCTCCATCTTAGCTTTGTGCAACGATAGACTCTTCATTCATCGTCAAAAAATCCGACACGAACAAACAATGTGTTAGCTAAAAACGTTTTTACTAACTATGTTCTGTCCATGAAAACTACACCATTCGACTCAAAATTTAATTCTGCATCGAATGATGGCACTTTTATTCACGGGACAAGCTTTGGAAAAATTCTATCTGGATTTTAAATAGACCTAAAGGAAACGAACACAGATATAGATAAAAAATTTTCCAAAGTTTGTCCCGTGAATAAAAGTACCACCATTCGATCCAGAATTAAATTCTGGATCGAATGGTGTAGTTTTCATGGAGGGGACATATTTAGTAAAAAAGGTTTTAGCTAACACATCGTTTGTTCGTACTAGCTCCTTCGTGCTAGCTTCACACCGATGACACGAACGGATTAAGCAAGGGTTGAAACGCGTCATGTAATGCTTGGAATCTATTTGATAAAAACTTACACTCCAACACACACCAACACACGCCTACACCTGTTTCTCAAGTATATATCATAAGAAGAGCCGTGAAAAGTTTTTCGATTTTGTGGGCCTCATTATCTCAATTCACGATGTAATTTCTGTTCTCACATAAGCATACACAGTAATACGTGTCACAGTCATGTGCTGTGGCTATTATTCGTTTCGATCGTTCATATTTGCAGTAACTTGATACTTTTGTCAGCGTTTGCAATTAGTTCTTCGGTCTCTTTGATTGATTGCAGTAATAACTCAGAATCCTTTTTGCATTTATAAATTGAAATACCATTTGCCGTTAACATAAAAAGACCCAGTGCGATACCTGCCATATACCACAGACTTGCTTTCTGACCTCTGATTGTTGCTGTATTACACAGGGTACAGATTGTAGTAGAATACATCCCAACTGTGTGAACATTTTTCTGAGAACATAGTTTCGAAGCGATCAACTCCAGTTGCGATTTCGTTCTTTCTAATTTTTTCTGGGAATGTAAAAGTAAATGCAACATAAATGGAACTCGAGTTGACAGCCGAACTGAAGTATCCAATTCTTGTTTATCGATCGACTTTAAACTTTCCATCAATTCTTTAGCCTCTTTATAATAATCATTTAAGAGAGATGCACTTTGTTCTAAAAGCGCTTTTGTCTCATTCATAACTTTTCGCTGCTGTATAAAAATATTTCGAGTGTTTTTGTGTGTTATCACAGTCATGATCAGATTTATTAGAGTTATTGCTGAGATCAAATAAGGCTGTAATTTGTATGCTCTGAGGATTGACCGTCTGATATTTGCCTTTTCTTGTTCAACTGAGCGGAGTATTTCTCTTCGTTTCAATTCTTCCTGTTTCAAATACTTCTCCAGTATACCTTTCATCGCCACGACTTGGTTTGTATTGGAATCTTCTTCAATATACCCAGCCCATTTATCTTTGAAAGATTTACCTGTTTCTGCGTTCACTACTTCTAATAGTGAACCAACTGCATCGATCACATATCCAAAAATTCGTTTAAAACTGTGCTGTATTTTATCACAGAATCCATGTTTATCCATTGCATTTGGAAAAGCCTTTAAATTCACCGGGGATGTATGTTCAAATTTTTGAGCCAAAGTATTTGAGAATTCAAGCTGCGAATTATTGTATGCCCGCGAGCAAAATAGTTCTGTTGTCATCACCCCAGCGATAGTATTGAGGACAATGGCGGCCGCATATGATTGAGTTGATTCGCCTATAATATATTTGAGCACAGTCTATCATCAATATCTGAGTAAATCATTTTTGCTAAAATAGACGATGCAATGCGCTAACCAATAGATTCGCACTTTAATGAAGCAAGACAAGGTCGTTCTTTTTTTAGGTATTTTCCCTTGTGGTCTGGTATGTAGAGAGAACAGGCAACTGTTGGACGTATTTTAGTTAGCTCGCTATGTAACGATTTTCGTTCCTACAGCTAGAGTTGTTGCATTCCAATTATTCTCCGCAGTGAGCGACATGTGGTGCCACCTGCTCAGAGGAATCAGTTTCACTATAGCCTGTATGTTAGTTGAAAGTTCGTACAGGCAACAAAAACATAAGTTTTGTCATCGTCGGCGAAATTTTGAGGAACACTAGCAAAATCAGAAGATTTCTCCTTATTGAATACTTTGCCAAAATAAAATTATATTATGATGATACGTGCACTCACATCCTGATACCTGCCATGTAAATCACTGATCCTCACGCGCAAGGCTTCGAAACATAATTCCGTAGAAATGCAGTTTTGTTCTCGCGACTATAAAGAGAGTCAAACGAAAAAAGTTTGTCTGTAGAGCTCAAAAAGTATTGTTCGAGAAAAACTGCTTTTTCGGGTTTCTCAAGGCGAAAAGTACATATCTGAGGCTCATTCACCTGTAAGTCGTATTGTTTAGTCAGCAAATGACTGAAACTGAGATTATTTAGTAAGACATTTAAGAAGTTGTTGAAATATAAAATCATCAATCTAGAGTTTGCTTCGTCGCTATGCATATCGATCGATCAAGATAAGAAGTCGATAAGGTTTTTTCGCCTTTGCAAGGTATTTGCGGCAATAATCCGGTCTGAAAATATGCCAAATAGAACTATAGGACGAATTCTAGAAAGAGATGTGCACTTGTAGCTCATTGATACGCATCTTACTAATCCGCGATTTAACTTGCTGCATATGCTGCGCTTCACTTACGAAAGACTTTAAGCATCGGATAATGGATAATAGTAACACATATGGGTGCGGGTGTGGATATGATTTTAGAGAACAGCATCATACTCCTATCGTCCTGACACATCCGTGCATCTTTTATTACCGTGACATGTTCAATCACAGTTACCCTCATCTTCAAACATATATCATATAGTAAATCAAAGTCAATCCTAGCGATACGCTTACCATGCCTATTGTCAGTCTCCGACAACAAAGTCGGTTCATTTATTAATGGATTATTATTGACAGGTCGAAGTTGCATACTGTGCTGACTGCATTGAATCAATTTTGCTATCAGCATCTTTGTCATTGGTCTGACATGCTGTTGTTTGGTGACAAGTATTTTTTGTAACATATCTTGTCTGTCAGCATATGTATCCAAATCATCATAATTAGGAATACCGTGATAATAGATACCTAATTTACAATAATTATAAATTCTTTTGCTCAATTGGTGATCTCGAATGTCATTTTTAAATTCCTCCAGTTTTTCATTTGTATATTTATCTGCAGACGTTAGAATCAACATCGAATACGCTGATAACTTTGGGCCAAAGAAATTCATTAATTTTTCAAATATTTCCAAATCTTTTTGATGCACTCGACCAGCTTCTGCAACAAAACAGAGGCAATGCAATCTATCGAAATGGTGTCTGATAAATGCATCTATGTCTGACAAGAGTTCATCATCGGTACGTGTTTCCGTTGTTTGACGGCGAATTTCTTTCAAACCGGGTGTATCGATAATATTCAAAAGATAAACAATAGCAGCTGGATTGGTAGGATCAGTAGTTACTGTGAATGATTTAAAGCATGGCTGTTTTGTCTCGGAAAAGCCGGTGTGTGACGATTTATAATCCTGATTTTCCAATACCTTTATCAATGTTGACTTGCCCGATTGAGAACTACCAACAAACAGTATATTAATCGACGGTAGTTCTTCTTTGCCATCATCATGATGATCTATTGTTGATCGAGGCAAGTTCATAATCTGAAAGTACAGAGGCGAAAGAAAGCAGATTAGAAAAAAATCAATGCGATTGTTGGGAGGAAGAAATAAATATAAGCGTACTACCATCAGCGCACACATCCCTTCCATCAAAAATCGTCACAGAATAGTGAACGCTCTTTTTCAAATGTCATGACCACTGAATCTAGTTTATGATGTAGTCAGACGAACGAAACGTCGTTACTTTCAATAAAATATAGAGTTCCAAGAACGTTTTGATCACCATATATCATCATCTTCAGTTTCACAGAAATTCAGCTTTAGCGTCAAAATAGTAAAGAGTAAAGAATAGAAAATTTAAGAACAATACGCAAAATGAAAATTTATGTTTGTTTTAACGATACAGAGTTTCAGATCATATTCGCCAGAATAATTATTTAAAGTCTTTGGAATGGTCCACATTAATATGTATTTAACTTTTGCTCACATCATTGTGCATCTGGATGGGCTATTTAGGTAGTTGTAGACAACTCTATGTCTTTCATCAGCTGAGTTCAGTATTTCTTGTATCATTTTAATCGGTTTCTGCTTTCCAGCTGTCGATACCAGGCATTGAATCAGTTTCAATCGGTGTGGAGTAATTAACGCAAGCTTATGATCCACAATTTCATCGTACAATAGTTGATTATGAGTATATGTTTGCAGTTCATCAAAATGGAGAAGACCATGATATAACAAACCCAATCGACAATAACGGAAAGCTCTTTCACTACCCTTATGATCTCTAATATTATCCTGGAATTCTTTCAATTTTGCATCTGTGTATTGTTCACAATGCGTTAAAAGCATTATTGTGTTAGCACTAAGTTCTGGACCTAAGAAATCCATCAATTTTTCGAAAATATCAATATCCAATTGATGTGTTTCACCAGCTATGGAGACGAAGCAAACACAATTTATTGTGGTTATGTTTTGTTCAATACATAGTTGAACTAGGGCTAATAGTTCTTCGTCTGTACGCTGGTGCTCTTTATCCCAAGAAACTTCTTTTAAACCAGGTGAGTCAATAACATTTAATTGATAGTGTTTTTTTCCTTGGCCATCTTCAGTGGTCATAACCATCGAATGACATTTAGCCTGCCGTGTTATGGAAACACTTGCATTTGTCCTGCAATACCGTGGATTTTTTAAAGCCTCCACAAGTGCTGATTTACCACATTGCGATCTTCCTATTAAAAGTACATTAAGTGTTTCTGCATCTACAATGGTGACGTCGTATTTGGACTGAGCCATCTAAAAACAAGATAAAGCTAATTGAGGGTGAGGGTGTGAGCGTGCTAGCTGCCATGACACGTTTCGACTGATCTCCACAGTACCATAAGATGGCTTAATGCTTAACCCTATTAGTACCAGCCGGGGTCATGTTTGACTCCCCTGTGAAACCAGTACTTCTTGAGAAATACTGGCGTGTGAAATATAGTTTTAAATTTTAGCTAGAATTAACGAAACAGTTTCAAGGCAAGCCTAAACGAGTCCAGTACTACAAGGATAAATATGATCAAAAGACTCTAACTTTATTGTAGAGAGACCAAATAAACTAATTTTCATCGATCTCAGAGTTTATTGGCTGTTATCATGTTTTGTTTATGGAAGCTTTTGATTTAGTGTAAAAAGAAGTATATCACGTCTCTTATAAAAAGTAGCTGAGTTCCACCCACGAAAAAGTTTTAAAACAGATACCGCTGACTATCGCGTTTTTTTTATAACGATTGCAAATTTATTACGGTGTGTTCAAAATAAACCGCAACGTCGTCACCGTTCAAGACTGCGGTCTTCATATTTTCTCAAGAGATATCGACGCTTTGAGTAATTTAGTCCTTGTTTTAGTTAGATTTTACATCTGTTTTCCATATAGGAATGTATCGCAACAGCTTCTATACGTGAAACAACGGTACAATCTAGAAAAGAGTCCAAACTCAAATCGATTCATTTCTTCTTTACTTGAGAAATGCCAAGATTTATCAGAAAAAGCTATTAGGAAAACACAAATGCACTTTTTTTCTCAAACTGTAATAAACTCAGCATTCTTTTTAATATTATCTGCCTTGCATTTTAAATTAAAGAGATTCAGACAGGAACTATGTACTTTTGTACAAATGCGCTCACCTATTTTGAAACTATTCATGTTTAGAGTTACATAAACACAAGTAGTGCCCATCCGTTGGATTCGCTGACCCTTTTCTGAAGCAATTAGAAAAGTAATACACAGAAGCTTTCGCTTAGTTCTCAATCAAATCGACTTCGAAGTGAAGTCACTTTTATGCCCACTCTTTTCTTTTAGTCATTTTCTAGTTTATTCATGTCAAAGTACTTTCAATTCTTTTGCCCAAAGACGTAAGCGAAACGAACACTGTTTCTAAACATTTATTCATCGAGTTTCCTCTGACTATTAAAAAAAATCAATTTAGTCTAACTTATTTTATCACCTCTTAACAACTCGAATAAACGCCTAGTCGGTCAACCATTCATGACTAGCCGTTCCCCTGCGTACTCATTTTACTATTTTGACTTCACTCAGACGAAGGTGTTACCCGAAAATGGGCTCATTTTGGAAAATCAGTTCATAATCGAAAACTTAGGAATTTGGTAGCTATGCGTAAATCTATACTTTGAAACGTACTAAAATATTATTCTATAGGTATACTTGAGTTTTATCAATAAAAAATAGGCTTATAATAATATTATACCTATATTTCTAGTCGTAGACAATGGGATTCTTTCGATTTAGAGAAGGTTACATATTTTTTTAAAGACTTTCTAAGTGTATTTCGTCCAACCAGATGACTGTGTGTGAGAATCAGAATAATCGTCAGCTATTGATTATCTTCAATATATAATACGACTGCGCCTCACGCAAAAGGAACATAACAGTTAGTTTGAGAAAATTTTAATAATACTACACAGCGAACTCGTAAAAGGCGCCCGATGCTGTCTAGATGGAAAAAAACTAATAATGTATCAGAAATTTTTAAGCAAGTTTTTTCCTTTTCTTCTCATTGCAACAATGTAAATAATTCCTTAACGCTTTGTGTGCAATCAAACGTCCCGATACATAATTAAAAAGTACTTTTCACGCATAAAGTGTTTTTTAGAAGAAATTATTGCGTTTCAAAATATTCTCTGACGACTTTTTACTTGGAAAAAAAATTTCCAACATAATGCAATAAGCGTTCACTTCCTTTGTTTACTTCCTGTCTCAGCAAAGAAAAAATGAGAAAATCATTGAAGTTTGTTGATTACTCTTTGTTTGGCATATTATGTGAGATGTATCCAAGTATCACGAAAATTTCAGCAACAATAGTCACTGGAGTGAGTTAGTTGTTTTTCTGTCATGATGTTCAGCCACGACTACTCATCGATCTACATTTTAACTATTTATGTGTGTAAGGAGTAGTTCAACCGGAATTCTCCCACGTTATACAAAAGTATCTCTGGTCTAGCTGAAATTTTCAGCAACTAAAGGTCTTGTTACCTTACTTTATGCTAAAAAAATCAGCTTGCCAACCCATGGACATTATGCTTTTTGTGATGTCATAAAATCTCAGCCGTTATGGCTCAAATCATTATTTGGTATTTTGTCGTAGAATTTTTTTCTACCTAGATATAATCATAAATGCGTACTTTATACACGCTAGTGAAGTACTATGATCATAGATTGTAACCATCGCTCGCTCATCGTATTGCGCGGTTCTTACTATGCGCCGGAACCATATGCAAGACTTTGTAAAAAATGAAAATATAGCCTATTTTCATGCATACAGTCGGGTATTAAATCTTAATGATAATTAACTGATTCCTGTTGGATTATATATACCGTACATCTACTCTCTGCATAATGATATAGAAGACATTGCTCTCTTTTCTAAAAGCAGCATTTCTTAAATCAATAAAATTTACCGATAAAAACTAGAAAATGACTACTACCGAGGTAATCAAGGTCGGAGATCCCGAGTCCGCTGATAGCTTTTCCTTATTCGTTGAGGTGCGACTTCTTCCTTTCTCATTCCAAAACAGATATGTTTGTGTATCTTTTCTTAAGTCTTGCGTAGGAGATAGTAGGTTAAACACTATTGCTGGGTATGATGGAATACAACCGAGAATGCCCTTTTGTTTTTCGTCTTTCTGCATGAGTGTATCAGAAAAAATAGTATGAAGTCAATATAGTTTCTTATTCTTCACGCGGCGACGCATCCTGTCTTTCGATAGGATTTTAGCGAAAGTAGGTCTCCAAAAGTACGATTGTCAGTGTAGTTCTATATTATTAACTATAGTGACAATGGCTAGGCAAATAGTAATTTGAACATATCAGACACTACGATGGATGCTCTTTAAAAACCAAATCATACGATAAAATTTTCTATCTTGTTTGTTCTGGTAATCAAATGCATGGCGAGTCTCTAATTTAGAAGCCAGAATGAAAGGAAACGTAGTCAGCCATTTTGAGAATTAATCAAAAGTGAAAGGCATATTAGGGATAATCATGGAAACGACTAGTCGTAAGCGGTCGACCGTAGGAGGGTCCACGAACAACAAGGCGCTTATTTAAGTAGCTTAGACAAGAGAAAATAAACGAAAGTAAATCGATTTTTTTATTTTGAACAGTCGGAAGAGAGTCGGTGAATAAAGTAGAAAAGGATTAAAAGGAAATAATATGCATAAAAATGACTCCAACTCGAAGTCGCTTAGATTGAATCCAAGTGAGCTCTTATCTATTACTTTTTAAATTCTTCCAGAAAAGAGTCAGCGAATCCAACGGATGAGCGCTACTTGTATAAAATAGGACCTCTCTTATGTGAGTGTCCGTTTGCGTATTACTCTCATCACGGGATCATCTATTCACCTCACGATAGATTTGGTGGTTGCAGACCAGGGGTGGAACATTTCGGTTTATTTTAACCCTTCGAGGACGGGATAAGTGTGAGGGACAAATAGAAGTTTTTAAAGTTTCAAACCACGTTTTTATTTTCATTAATGTCAAACACGGCTCTCTAGAAACATCTCAAAGTGTGATAATCTCGAAAAACAATCTAGTAAACAAAGACCAACATTACAGTCAGCACATTCGTATCTGGACTCAGCTCCCTTCTTCACTCTTTTTGTAATATTAGCGCAAACTACACATTGTTTTCGTGGATCTTGTTTTGTTGATGTTGAAGCAATAGGTGTAGGGAAATGACGTCCAATTGATCGAACTGGAGTATCTACATCACTGAGTCGTCTTCTTGAAGCGTTGAGTTTACTCTACATGGCAACAATTTGACGTATCAACTGTAGACGAAAATCATGAAATTGAGTGCTTCGACCAGTTGTTTTCCTTGTACAGGGCATACGAATTCAAGACTGCTATATCCATCAAACGAAAGAAAAGTTTCTTGTACGGTTTTACCGATTTGCGAACACATTCAACGCAACTCATTTGCATATCTGATTTATCTACAGAATCCCTGTTTTTATTGTAGTCAGTGACCGACACTGGTTTCCGAATTGGCGCCTTAGTTTGCCAATAATGCTTCATGTATTGTCGAAAGTATGGTAACCTCCCTTTTATTGAACAATTTGATAGCAAGTAAAATATCAGTGTGTCGGTAATCACAATCGCTTTTTTCTAGTTGATCAGTCAATCTCGGCATTCCGAATCGATTTTGTCTCACTGTGCCGCAGACTCCGATTGAATTGGCATGTAATTCTTCGGAAAGGGCCGGACTCGGGAACCAGCTGTCCACGGGCAAATTGTGACCTTTCAGAAGACACGGTTGCATAAGTCTCATCACAACTGATCCTGTACAAATGATGAAATCTAACACAAATCCAATGCGACAATCACATAAGACCACAAAACTTGATTCCGTATCTATGTCGCTTGATGACCAAAGCACTATACTTTCACCGATGCATAGATTCTAGTACGAAACCAATGTGCTTCCGAATTTTTCCTTTAGATGCCGGATCACCGGTCTTATTTTGTATAATCGATCTCTTGTAGAACCATTAGCATAAAAGTGGCCAGTAAAAGGTATATTTCTTGAGAATCAGTCGGAGACCCTTTTGCTTGATGTGACAACGACAATTTACATGCATCCGATGCACTTGCTTGAAATTTATTTGTCTCAGTCACAATAATTTAGATCAGCTCTTGATAAAAAAAAGCTTGAAGAAATCTAGCGGAGTCATCATTCAAGTCCACATCTATGCCACAAATTTTGCTTTGAAACTGAAATATATTGGGTCTAAAATCATCTTTCCCCCATGATCTCGAATTCGAAAAACGACCAGACGGACGATAAAGGTAGATATCTTCGTCATCGTCTATCTCTATGTTACTCCCTGAGTCAGAACCACTATCTTCGCTAGTTTGAGATTGGTCTTCGTTTGTTGAGTCCGATTCAACTTCAGATTGTTCATCATAAAGTATATCCTTGGTTCCAGGTTGTCTAACTGCTATCATTTAACTCTGATAAGCTCACGGAAAAAAACAACTTTTTATCATACAACGATAGTCAGAGCTTATTTGTATCTACAGATAGTGAAAAGAACGAGAACGTACTAAAAAACGAAGGAAAGAATCGTCATGATGACATAAGACAAGAGAACAGAGTTCATAGATTCATTGATCAGAAGAAAGGACAGAAGTAAAAACATTTTTACAACAATAGTATGAAAACGCGTTAGAGGTGTCAGAACTAGACTCCCTACTATTATCTAGACTATTGCCCGTAACTAAAATATGTCCTCAAACCATCTGTAGGCAGAGTTTCGTAAAGTACATTCTTGTTTTAACTAAACAAAAACATATATATATATATCAAATTTTAATAAAGTAAAATTACGATGGACAAGCGCCCGTTTGCCTTCTCACCTTCAATACGCCACTGATGTAGTAGAAATTTATATGACAGGACAGAAGTTAGAAATGGTAAAGATCCGCCAGTGAATTATCCACTAAAGTATTGAGAAAGAGCTATTTTTTCATACATTTTCCTAGATTCGCTTGGGTCTTTTCTCTTTTCCCATTTCTTGCCGGAACCCAACAGGAGCAATGCTGAGACTTATCGATTAGTCACCATTGGTGAAAGCGAAAGATTTGTATCCATTAACTGATCAAGATGTCCACGGTATGTGCGTCAAGAAGTATTTATTTTTCTGCAATACGATGAAAAGAGTAAGGCGATGGAAAGGCAACCATCAACTACAATTACTAATAAGGCTGGAGTTCGTCTGTATGGAGAACCTTTTGTGATGTCTTTCAGATGGCTCTGCTCCCCTATCTGTTATCCATGTTTTGCACAAGAGGCTTGTGTTAGTCTTATGCACTCAACTGTTGCCCCAATTTTTGTTGGATGTCTACTATATGACTCTGGTAGTTTCGCTGTACGAAAGTCTCTTCCTTGTACATTTAGTGTTTGTGGTGGTGATTTGTTGCATCTTATTCTTTTCGCCGCAACATACGCCAGTTCAGTATGTTTGTTTTCATTTCAACATGTATTTTCGTTTATCTTCTCATCCTAGTTCAATTTTAATTAGAAGTTTAAGCATATAAGGGTGCGACAACAAAAAAACGGAGGGGGAGCAAGAAAGATGGTAAGTGATGAGTATCTTTTCACAGGACGAAGAGCTCGAAGCCAGTGCCCTTTGCCAACGACATGCGGTGCGCGGCCTTCTGGTCAACACTGAACGTGACCAGTACCGAAACGCCCGGACGAAGAACGATGTCTTTGGGTAGCGACGAACCGTGTAGCACGGCAATCGGTGCACCGATGTGGCCATTTTCTACCTCGAATACGCGAACATAGTCGGTGAAACGGCGTGTGTTGAATGATCTGAATCGTAGCCGCACGCTGTTGTTAGCGTCGACAGGCACCAACCACGAGCGACGCGTACTCGCATTGTACGATGACAGACTGATACCACCGGTCGTCACCGTCGTCGCGTGGTAGTCATTCAGGCTGACGCGAGGACGATGCGAAATCAGACGTCTCCTTTCATTACCGCCGATTGACGCCTTGTAGATCTTATCAAGTTGCTCGAAGTAGCCGAAAAACGCCGGCTCCTCCTGTGCCCACATAAAATCGACGCGTTCCCACTGACTCTCATCATAGGAGCCGCCAAGAATGCTGCCGTCCGCGTCAAGGTCTAGGAGGTAGTTGTAGTTCTTGTCGACGATCTGTGGCTCGTGTGCTGTTGGTAATGGACGAGTCTCTTTAACGTAATACATGGTTAAGCTCACCGACTGTTGCTTGACCGTTCCGGGCGCTGAAGTGTTTGTCGGCGAGCTCGTATTACCGAGGATATATTCGTACTTGGTGATTGGCTGGTTCCACACCTCGCTGCTACGCTCTACGTCCCCGACAAATGCTGTGCCCATGAAGCCGATTATGTTCGTAAGCATGACGTGAAAAGTTCCGGGGTTGATGTCCCGGCACTCGGAGCTGTCGGCCTTTTGGGGCGTGCTGCTGATATCCGTGTTGCATCGCTCAGCAATGAATTGCGTCTTTTCGTGGTCCGACGCGAATTGTGCCAAGAAGTACGATAGCAACGCTTTCACGTCACTCGATCCGAACGAAATTTCAAGCCCTTCTTTGTTTTTCATCGTCACGTTCTTCGGTTCCTCGTAGTGGATCGCGGCCGGTGCCCAACCGTGGCAAATACCCTCCCAACGGGCGTCATTGGGGTTGCAGCGATGCCACTCTGAATTCAACAGCGGGTAGTCATAGCGTGAATTGAAAATATCGAACTTCTCGGCCGGCGATAGGACGTTGAGGTCGACACTACCGTTCTTCAGCTCTTCTAGCGTATACAGCTTGTAGTCGAAGCCGGGATAGCTGTTTTTTTCGTCCTGCCAACGATTCGCGATGCCACCACGATAACTCGGCCAGTACGTATCACTCCATGGGATCTTTCCTGACTTGCCGCTCATCGGTAGTTTATCGAGCTCGTATCGGAACGACGGGTTCCAAGTCGACGGATCGTTATACTGATCCCACTTATCGCCAAGGACAAACAGTACGCATTGCATAAACATGGTAAATATTGATTTACTCTTCATTTTTAAGTTGTTTGGAGGGACTATTTAGGAAAAATAAACAAATCTATACAACAAACACGAGTGAAAAAACTGACACAAGATAGGAATCTCCAAGATTGGTTAGTCGTATATCGTTGGGCGTGATGTACAGATAGAGAAATAGAAAGATAAGCAAATCTATTTTTCGTCTTAACAAAATACGACTGGCTCAAAAATATAGAATCCGTTGTTAACATTTCGACAGCACGTTACCCGATTAGCGGTTTTGAAGTCCACGGTTAGGAGCGAGTTACCAAGTGTCTATCATGAGATATCCAGAGCTTATCTTACTGTCTCAATCATTGTTTAAGAAGAACGAATTACGTTATCCAACTGGATTCATCATTGCCGTGAGTATTACAATACATCGTAAAATGAAATATACGCGAATCCAACGTTAAATGGAGTTCATGGCTCCTTCAAAAACCTCAAGTTAATGGTTTTTACGTTTTTAGTCTGAATATTTTTTTTCGTATTTTCATATATAGAATCAAGTTGTTCTATTTACTTATTGTCACTCAACGTCAAAAGAAAAGATACTGAATCAAATTGAATACTAGGTCACAAAAGCATTACAAGCCACCACCAAGAGATGTCTTGCCATAAGTGAGACTTTGATTTTAAACTTTTTAAGTTAAAGTACTTATAACATTAGTAAGAAATAACCGTGTCAAAATTTTAACGTTCACATCTGGTCCCTTATAGGATAGCTACATGGGCACTGATGTAATCCTATAAGGTACACATATGAGAATCCAAATATCTCATTCTGCTTTCAAATATGATTCTATTTAATCATATTTCTTACCAATTTTGTTTTCAATATACTTTCTACTTTCCAAGTACATATTCGAACTTCGTTCCTGCTCATTATTCGATGATTAATCGACACTCTGGAACTATTCTTTTAAAAAATATGTTTTCGAGAAACCTGCTTTGGTCTGCTCTTCAGAATACATACTCACAATAGCCGTCATTTCCTTGATCATATAGATCAGAATGAACTAAACGACAAACCTACTATTGAAATGCATCTTTTGCAGTCTAATATGAGAAGTATTTGAAACTTTTCGAGACGATTTGCCTTAAAGAGAAAGAATTTTGTCTACACGTTATATACAACTTTATTTTAGTTGCAACGGCACAATGGCGCGTAATTGAAGTCAAAAATATCTGTTCGGATACAGCACGAAATACATTGTTCGAGTCTTATAAAGAGATCAATCAAATATCTAAATGAAGTTTAGCTGGACTTTATATTACTGCTGACAGTCTTTTCATTGACTCTTTTTTTCCCTATAATGTTTAACAGACTATTTTATCCAAATGAATTCAATTCAAATTGATCTGATTGGACGGTGAAGCAAGAGCGAAACGCGTTATAAGTAGCTTGGAATACTTCGAAAACTCACCTTATGTTATTGTTTGAGGTAGGAGGATGCAATGGTAGATGAATATGAGTAGGGATGAGAATGGTGTTTTTCTATGGTCGTGTAGCGACTATATATGCATCGATTGGTCACAAATAACGAATCTATTAGAAAGTAATCTCTCATAAATTGAAAGTGATTAACTGTTTTATAGTGTTGTGAAAATAAGCGATATTTGATACATTAACGGATTCTCGTTTTTCGATCAATATTTGCAGAAAATAAGAGATAATTGATGTATTAAGCAGTTACCATCTACATTGTAAAAAAAATAAAGGATTTATAGACATCACATATACGATAAAACTGTGTAGGTGATCGTGGATTTTTGGAACTGACCGTTCTGGGAATACTAACATATGAATAGGTTACAAGAGTTTTATTTTAATAAGGCGGTCAACGGTGTAGGAGTGTATGGATGGAAAGCAAGAGTTTTTGTAAGTACGGTTAACGATGTAGCAATCCACGAATGGGCCAAAATGTTTTAGTAAATGTGCCTGAGGGCATATGAATAGATGACTTCATCAATAGAAGTTTTCGAAAAAAGACTGACGGTAGAATGATATTAAGATGCTGTTAGCGTCATCGTTCGATGACACTAACTATTATATATGTTTTTCTTTGTTTTCCTTTTCTTTTCGTTTCGTTCCTCTTATTAGTGATCCTTCCATTCCTTACATATATACAGTTTTCGTTTCTGTGATGTATGTATGGTGGATTGTCCATCATGATGTACTCATGATGACCTTTGTTTTCTTTTTCCTTCATTGCGTCGTTAGATTTCGTTTTTGTCTAGACGCATACAGACTTTCATCTATATAGAGAGTTGTTTTTCTCGTTTTCTGTTGCAGTTGATTTTCTCTTTCTCATTGTTATCATCGTTTTTCTTCTCAGAATAAACGGGGATATCCGCATCTTGGCTCGCCCTCCTCACACATTATCACATGGTAGGTGGGATTATTATTTTTATTGTGAGTGTATGACGATTTGTTCGCATCCCTGAAGTCGAGACTCACAAATTGGTGGAGAAGTTGGGCAACTTTCGCCTTATCTATCATAGTTCGCACAAACTTTCAAATCTACGATTAGTTATCTAACCGTATAAACAAATTCTTTTCTTTTCTTCTTTTGTGTATATCGAATCAAGTGTCTCACCATATCGAAAGGCACATATTTCGTTCTCTTTCTTTCTCGAATACTTCTATATACATTGCATAGACTTTCATATTTGTCAAAAATCACCTACAATGACTGATTCCATACCAAAACAAACCCTTATTAAATCACGATCGAGTGGATCGTTAAGAGATAGCGTTATTGAAAGTACCGATATCTTTACGTCAACACACCTTGTTGACAGTGATACAGAGAAATTTAAGTACAAAGGTGGAAGGAGAGCTATGCTGCCTTCCATAAGTACAGTGAATGCCGCTCAGGCCGTTTTTACTGAAAGTAAAGACACGAAGGTTAGTCATTTCGATACACACACGCATGTCGCAACTAATGACTTTCATACGATGAAGAAAAATGCGGGTCAGCCAACTCAAAATGACTCAGAATTACAACCATACCCAAACACAACTGTAGACACAGTGAAAAACGTGAACGACGATGATTTCGATATTTTCATTCTACGCAACTTTACTCCGTTTACCGGAAAAGGTGACGTCGTTCAATGGCTTGCAGAAACAGAAGATAAATTCACTCAGTTTCGTATTGCACGATGTCTTCGTTATCAATCCATCTCACTATTAGTTAAAGGAGATGCAAAACGCTTATATCTATCACATCGTAAAACTATTCACACTTTCGATGATTTCTATGAATTTATGATAGCTACATTTCAAGCTAGTTCACATTCTTTTTGTTCGGTCAGTTCATGCCTATCTGATAATACATTACGTGTCACGAAATGTGATACTTGTCAAACACAAATCATTCCTAAGACTGATACAACTCTTTCACACACGAACTCTTCATGTCAGCCGGATCATCACACAGATCCTAATAGGCCCAATGCTGTTCTTCACACCACCATGGTACATGGTGAGGTTTCAACTATGGATCAGAATGCACTATCACTCAACTCTTCTACTAGTCAAGTCGATCCTGCTATTAACGAACTTCGCAAAGCTATAGTTAGCAATCTAATAAAAAATCCAAAAACATTCAAAGGAGAAAAGGATGACGTTAAAAAATGGTTGGAAGATATTGAACATCTTTTTGATATCGCACATCTTCCTAATTCTACTCGACTCGATCTAGTGTCATATTCTTTGCGTGCTGATGCTTTCGAATGGTATAAAATCAATCGTTCTTCCTTTACATCGTGGGAGATTTTCGTAACTAGCCTCAGAAAAGCTTTCACGTCAAATTTTCACGAAGAATTAGCATTTAAAAAATTGGAAGCATATTCTCAGGGAGAAAATCAGTCTATTCGTACCTTTTTCAATGACGTTTTGAAATTATGTAAAGAAGCCGATCCAACTATGACTGATGCAACTAAATTGAAAAATCTCTTGAATAAAACGAAACCTAGTATTCAATATGAAGTTCGCAAGAAAAAGCCGACCACCACTCTTGAGTTTCTGGAATTTGCCAAAGAGGCCGAAGAACTCATGCAGCTTTCAAACATGACCTTTTCTGAGTCCAACTATCCGAATAATGTGTCATACATGCGTTCTTCACCTTCATCAGTGCGTCCCACCTTTTCTCATTCGTCTTCTTATTATCCTTCACAGCCTTCTCGAGCTTTCAATCCGAATCCTCGCTTTGCTAATAATCGAAACATACCTTCATCTTCACAAGATTCATCTTTCTCACGAAACTATGCGCCACAGAATGTCTCTAGAACGAGTTACAATTCTACACTATCATCACAGAATAAGAATTCCACTACGGCTTCTAATCAGACTTATACTCGTCCAAACGTTCCTTTAGCGAATTCACCTCGTCTGAATTCGACTACTTCATTTCCACCATCAACCCACACTGCTAATACTATTCATACAGCTTCATCCCCAGATGATGCTGAAACTGAGACCGAGTCCCTTCCTTCTATCCTTTGTAGTCAATGCAATCAACTCGGTCATGATGCTTCGACATGTCAACATTTCTAACGCCGGGGACGCCGAAGGATGGCGTTGTCTCCGGAGCGAATGTTATGAAGCCATCTAAGTCCTCTTTACTCTTCTTTACTACGTTTGTTAATCTCTATCCTACTAAGATCTTAGTTGATACCGGAGCATCTACTACTTTTATTCATGAAAAATTATTACAACATTTAACCAAGTATCAAATTCTAAATCGAACCTCATACTCTTTTCTTTTGGCAGATGGTGTTGCGCCTTTTCACGTGTCAGGATCCGTTTGTTTGACCATTCGTTTCGCACATGTGGACACGACTATCGAAGCTCAGGTCGCTCGTAATCTTTGTACTAATATTATCCTAGGGATGGATTATATCAATCGCTATAATTTAAGTTTTGATGTAAAACGCCAACTTCTATCGATTGAACATAATGATCGTATCCTCACTATGGCTATTGATCGTGAGTCACCAAGCCGTGAGCTATCTGTTCTTTCACTACAGTCAGTTAACATTCAACCTTATACTACTTGTTCTATTTCTATTGCTTCTCCTGTTGCATCTATCTGTACTTCTTTCACTCCTGCACATACCTTAGTTCAAGATAAGTATTTAACTCCTACTCACACGTTGCTCCATTTTCACAACTTTCATTCTACCGCTTCGTTTACGAACACGTCGTCTAAGCCTCAATTTATTCGTCGTGGAGATCATCTCGGCTTTCTTACAGATTGTCTTGAATCTCCCTTGTTATCTGTTACGTCTCCATCGTTCTTCGTAACACCTGACCGGAATCCATGTTCTGACACTTTGTCAGTCTCATCTGATTCCTTCGTATCGAATTCTAACTCTACACGCTATTCTATTTCCATCGATTCACGAGGTTCCATCTCATGTAATACTATTCCGTTGCTTCCTAATTCTATTGACACTCGTATTCGTTCATTGATACCTTCCTCACTCGATTCCAATCAAAGCGATCGTTTATATACGTTGTTAACTCGATTTGTATCAACCTTTGATACAAGTAAACACAATATTGCGAACACTTCTATTAATCATGTTATTAATACAGTTCCTCATTCTCCACCGGCTTGTCGGTTTTATCCACAACCGGATAAAGAGGACGCTATGTATCAATTGATGCAGGAATTTCTTCAGGCAGGTTTAATCTCGGAATCACATTCACCGTACGCCGCACCCGCTATTCTAATCAAGAAGAAAGATAACTCATATAGATTTGTAGTAGATTATAAACGATTGAATTTAATTACTATTAAAGATTCTTCGCCGTTACCCAATATCGAAGATACACTTCGTAAATTAGGTCGTGGATATAGTTATTTCTCAAAGCTTGACTTAAAGTCAGGTTTCTATCAAATTCCAATAAGAGAGTCAGATAAAGCGAAGACTGCGTTTGTCACACCTTTTGGACTATATCAATTCAATGTCTTACCTATGGGATTAAAAAACTCACCTCCCACCTTTCAGAAAGTCATGTCGGACACGCTAAAATCATGTAGAGCGTTTTCATTTGTCTATCTCGATGACATCGTGGTCTTCTCCACCTCGTTTGATGACCATATACAACATTTAAATGCGGTCTTAACTGCGCTACAGTCAAAACATTTAGTTCTCAATCCTCCCAAGTGCATATTCGCTGCTCAGGAAATTGATTATCTCGGTCACACGATCACAAGGAATCGCATGACTCCGCTTAAAGAACGCATTGATTTTATTCTTTCTCTCAACGAGCCCAAGACGCTTTCTCAAGCGAATAAATTTATAGGTTCTTTGAGTTGGTATCGTAAATTTATTCCTCATTTCGCTGCTGTAGCCGCTCCTATCCATGCAGTCATTAACTTAACTAGAGGTAAACGCCATAAGTTTCAATGGCATGATGCTCAGTCTGAAGCATTTCATACACTCAAACAAATGCTTACTACTGAACCCTTATTTCTTAGTTATCCAGTCGATGACATTCCTTTGATACTCTCGACTGATGCTAGTGGCATCGGCCTTGGAGGTGTGCTACAACAGGAGATAGAAGGCGAAATCCACAACTTGTATTATCATTCGCAACTCATGACTTCTACTGAACGTAAATATAGTACTATCGAAAAAGAAGCCCTTGCAATTTATAAATGTTTTGCACGAATGCGAACCTTTTTGTTAGGTCGTACTATTATTCTTCGTACAGATCATTGTCCACTCTGTCATATCATGGAAAAATCAGTTCATAATACACGCGTAGATCGTATTACTCATTTGATTCAAGAATATAATATTGATAAAGTTATCCATATCACAGGCAAAGAGAATTGTCTTCCTGACTTTCTCTCACGTTATGCGAATGATATCGACGATGACCTTTTCGAAATTGATTATGGTTTAGAGAATAAACAGAGTATACTTGCTTCCATGGTGCTACGATCTCATACAANGTCGTTTTCTTCTAAAATCTTGTAAAATAATCCAGGAAGTTCTAGAAGTTTCCATACTAAGGGTATATCGTATATAGGACATAAATGTCTTTCGAATGATAAAAAAAATCATCGATATGGACGTTGATGTCGAGTCAAAAACAAATCTTTCTCATAGAACGATTCGAGTGCTTTTACTTCATGAATTTCGCTTGGGTCACAAAGCAACAGAAGCAGCCAAGAACACATGCGGTACGATGGGTCTGTATGGATCAATGGCTATCCAAACTGATTACTGGCGATGAGAAGTGGGTGTTATATGTTAATTACACGCGTGAACGTCATTGGTTGAGTACTGGGCAAACAGGCGTAGCAACACCGAAGGCTGATCCACATCCTAAGAAGTTGATGCTGAGTGTCTAGTAGAGTATTAAAGAACGTATTCATTGGAAAATTCTACCAAATGGTTACACCATCACTGCTGATATGTACTGTCAACAATTAGATCGGATTGCAGACAAACTCAAAAGAAAGCAGGATCGAGTTTATTTTTTACATGATAACGCAAGACCACACATTGTAAAGTCGTCGACCCGTGAAAAATCCCAGGACTTCGACGAGCGCGGGATCATGTCTCTTCCAGAACGTTGGCGACAAGTGGTAGATAGCAATGGTAAACATATACTTGAAAACTAGTCATACTTTTGAAGTGAAAAAACAAAAAATAAAATTTTTGAAAAAAAACGCCAAAACTTTGCTGACGACCTAAGAGATCACCTCGTGACAGGCTCATCCACATCTCCATAGTGGACTACGACTATAATTTATTCGAAGAATAGTCAGTTACAATACTATCATGAGTCGTTGGCATTAAGTACGAGTGACGCAATTCAAGAAACGGTTTTTCGATGGCATGATATGACAGAGTTGATATACTTATTGTGATTGGCAAGACTATAACGAGAGCAGACAAAAGATGGACCACATATAGATCATGTGGCGCTCTAAAAAAAAGCGAGTATTGCTTGACTGTATGAACGACGATCCAATGTATGAGATACATCGAGTAGCTTATGGTACCAATGTTTGATATTGCTCGCAAAAGTATATTTTCTTTTGAGTTCATAAACACCAGGTAACCGACGATTATTAGTGCCCATAATAATGCTTCAACCGGAGGCCAGACGATCTTCCATGGATCGGTGCTAAGCCATCCACCGGATCGATTAAAGATGAATAAGGCCATGAACATACCTGGAATGCCGATTAGTAGANGACTTGCCGCTCATCGGTAGGCTCTCGAGCTCGTATCGGAACGACGGGTTCCAAGTCGACGGATCGTTATACTGATCCCACTTGTCGCCAAGGACAAGCAGTACGCATTGCATCAGCATGGTAAATATTGATTCACTCTTCATTTCTAAGTTGTTTGGAGGGACTATTTAGGAAAAATAAACAAATCTATACAACAAACACGAGTGAAAAAACTGACACAAGATAGGAATCTCCAAGATTGGTTAGCCGTATATCGTTGGGCGTGATGTACCGATAGAGAAATAGAAGCATAAGCCAATCTATTTTTCGTCTTAAGAAAATACGATTGGCTCAAAAATATAGAATCCGTTGCTAACATTTCGACAACACGATACTCGATTAGCGGTTTTGAAGTCCACGGTTAGGAGCGAGTTACCAAGTGTCTATCGTGAGATATGCAGGGTTTATCTTACTATCTCAATCATTGTTTAAGAAGAACAAATTACGTTATCCAACTGGATTCATCATTGCCGTGAGTATTACAATACATCGTAAAATGGAGTTCATGGCTCCTTCAAAAACCTGAAGTTAATGGTTTTTACGTTTTTAGTCTGAATATTTTTTTCGTATTTTCATATACGGAATCAAGGTGTTCTATTCACTTATTGTCACTCAACGTCGAAAGAAAAGATACTGAATCGAATCGAATACTAGGTCACAAAAGCATTACAAGTCGCCACCAAGAAATATCTTGCCATAAGTGAGGCTTTGAATTTAAACTTTTTAAGTTAAAGTATTTATACTATTGGTAAGAAACAACCATGTCAAGACTCTAAGGTTCACATCTGGTCCCTTATAGGATAGCTACATGGGCACTGAGGTAATCCTATAAGGTAGACATATGAGGATCCAAGTACCTCATTCTGTTTTCAAATATGACTCTATTTAATCATATTTCTTACTAATTTCGTTTTCAATATATTTGCTTCTTTCCAAGTATATATTCATTCTTTTCTCGAAAATTCTATTCGAACGTCGTGCCCGCTCGTAACTACATACTCATAATAGCCGTCATCTCATTGATCATATAGATCAGAATGAACTAAACGACAAACCGACTATTGAAATGCATCTTTTGCAGCCTACTATGAGAAGTATTTGAAACTTTTCAAGACGATTTTTCTTAAAGAAAAAGAATGTTGTCTGCGCCTTATATACAACTTTATTTTAGTTACGACGGCACGATGGCGCGTACCATCGGTATCTAAATGAAGTTTAGCTGGACTTCAAATTGCTGCTGACAGTCTTTTCATTGGCTCTTTTTTTTCCTATAATTTTTAACAGACTATTTGATCCAAATGAATTCAATTCAAATTGATCTGATTTGATCGTGATGTAAGAGCAAAACGCATTTTAAGTAGCTTGGAATACTTCGAAAGCTCACCTTATATTATTGTTTGAGGTAGGAGGATGCAGTGGTAGATGAATATGAGTAGGGATGAGAATGGTGTTTTTCTATGGTCGCGCAGCGACTATATATGCATCGATCGGTCACTAATAACGAATCTATTAGAAAGTAATCTCTCATAAATTGAAAGTGATTAACTGCTTTATAGTGTTGTGAAAATAGGCGATATTTGATACATTAACGGCTTCTCGTTGTTCGATCAATATTTGCAGAAAATAAGAGATAATTGATGTATTAAGCAGTTACCATCTACGTTGTAAAAAAATAAAGGATTTATAGACACCAAATATACGAAAAAACTGTGTAAGTGATCGTAGATTTTCGGAACTGACCGTTCTGGGAATACTAACATATGAATAGATTACAAGAGTTTTATTTTAATAAGACGGTGAACGGCGTTGGAGTGTATGGATGGTAAACAAGAGTTTTTGTAAGTACGGTTAACGATATAGCAATCCACGAATGGGCCAAAAATTTTTAGCAAATGTGATCGAAGGCATATGAATAAATGACTTCATCAATAGAAGTTTTCGAAAACGAGTGATGGCAGAGCGATATAAGATACTTCATAAGCACAGTTGTTCATGCAAGAATTTGCTCGACGATCTAAGATACGAAAGAACCAACTATATTTTTTCCATTTATATTGTTTTTATACATCCGACAGAAATATATTAGATGGTTATTTTAGAGAAAATCATAATATATAAACTGGTTGGATTAAGATCCGAGAAGTGTTTTGTCTTTACAAATGGATGACTTCGATTCCAATTATAATTGATATTTGACAATTAATACCTGACGTATATTGCAAATATGATATTATTCTTCTAGATAACGGGCAGTTTTTTATGGTATAAAATTATGTACAAAGAACTTTTCTTATAAATATTGGTTTGTCAAAAAAGTTCTGTCGCTTTCTTCTAAAATCTTGTAAAATAATCCAGGAAGTTCTAGAAGTTTCCATACTAAGGGTATATCGTATATAGGACATAAATGTCTTTCGAATGATAAAAAAAATCATCGAATATGGACGTTGATGTCGAATCAAAAATAAATCATTCTCATAGAACGATTCGAGTGCTTTTACTTCATGAATTTCGCTTGAGTCACAAAGCAACGGAAGCAGCCAAGAACATATGCGGTACGATGGGTCTGTATGGATCAATGGTTATCCAAACTGATTACTGGGGATGAGAAGTGGGTGTTATATGTTAATTACACGCGTGAATGTCATTGGCTGAGCACTGGGCAAACAGGCGTAGCAACACCGAAGGCTGATCCACATCCTAAGAAGTTGATGCTGAGTGTCTAGTAGAGTATTAAAGAACGTATTCATTGGGAAATTCTACCAAATGGTTACACCATCACTGCTGATCTGTACTGTCAACAATTAGATCGGATTGCAGACAAACTCAAAGGAAAGCAGGATCGAGTTTATTTTTTACATGATAACGCAAGACCACACATTGCAAAGTCGTCGACCCGTGAAAAATCCCAGGACTTCGACGAGCGCCGGATCATGTCCCTGCCAGAACGTTGCCGACAAGTGGTAGATAGCAATGGTAAACATATACTTGAAAACTAGTCATACTTTTGAAGTGAAAAAAACAAAAAAAAATAAAATTTTCGAAAAAACGCCAAAACTTTACTGACGACCTAATAGATTCCCTCGTGACAGGCTCATCCACATTTCCATAGTGGACTACGACTATAATTTATTCGAAGAACAATCAGTTACAATATTGTCATGAGTCGTTGGCATTAAGTACGAGTGACGCAATTCAAGAAACGGTTTTTCGATGGCATGGTATGACAGAGTTGATATACTTATTGTGATTGGCAAGACTATAACGAGAGCAGACAAAAGATGAGCCACATATAGATCATGTGGCGCTCTAAAAAAAGCGAGTATTGCTTGACTGTATGAACGACGATCCAATGTATGAGATACATCGAGTAGCTTATGGTACCAATGCTTGATATTGCTCGTAAAAGTATATTTTCTTTTGAGTTCATAAACACCAGGTAGCCGACGATGATTAGTCCCCATAATAATGCTTCAACCGGAGGCCAGACGATCTTCCATGGATCGGTGCTAAGCCATCCACCGGATCGATTAAAGATGAATAAGGCCATGAACATACCTGGAATGCCGATTAGTAGACCCCAGCCTAGTCGTTTGTCGTCAATGGTTAAGTTTCGAACTACTTGTGCAGCTATCATTCCAATGATAAATTGATCTAAACGACCAAGAATAGTCCAATAGCAGAACTCTCGCACATTGGCTCCATTCAATAAAGCACTGATTCGCGCTACCATTGTGAACCCAAGAATAGGTAGAAGTCCTGAAATGCCCTTTTCTATTAATGTCGAATTTAGAAATGGAAATATTAGATAAAATTGAAACTCTACAGCTATGGTCCAAAACATACCGGTGTAACTAGATAGCTGAAGCGATGCAGGTGTATTCTGAAAAGGAAGCACTGTGCAAATAAACGCCCTCATACTAAATCTGTCCGGAAATACCGAGATACCAATGATTGTCATTGTCATCATCAAGGGGTAAATGCGCAAAATGCGATTGCGTATGAATTGAAAATAGTTAATTTTTTTACCGGCACTACCATATGTGAAAATGAAACCACTTAGTACGATGAATAAAGCTACTGCTGTATGTCCTTCATGAAGAAAAGTCATAAATAAATTGCCATTCATAGGCCAGATAAGTACATCGGTAGGGGAAATCTCTCTAGAAATGAAATGTATCGAATGATAACACAATATTAATATAGCCGCATATGCTCGCAAATGATCAATGGCTGGAATGTATTTGATATTTTTGCTAGTTGCCATATTAATTATAATAACGAATATATATATGTGGCAGTTAGTTGAGGAGTTCAGTTAAGTCTGGAATCGATAGAATCTAAAAACGATTTCTATATTTGTATTTTTTATTAGAAAGGTAAAGATATAGCTAGTAGATCTGCATAATCATTTTGAAAATAATACAAAAAAAAATTTTTTTCGCTCATGAGACATGAGGGACATTGAAATTCGTATTCGGGACGAACAAACGAAAAGAAAAGAAAAGAAAAGAAAAGAAAAGAAAAGAGGAAAGATTTTTATCCTTCAAACACAACTATTTCTCATGTGCAAGACAAACGGAACATTGAAAATTGTATTGGAAGAAAGAGAGAATATATTTTTCTGTTTCTTAGCAATGGCTGAGAGTGTGCGTACTAGCTGTTATGTCCGGTTTCGACTGATTTTCAGTCTCATCAGATGGCTAAACACTTGAAACGATTAAAAAACATTGAAGTCAGTGAAGGATGGGAAAAATCAATGGATATATGTCAAAGTCAAAGTAAATTGATTGTTTTGATGGTCTTATGTGATACTTGTTTACGGAATGAATTTGAATTAGGTTGCCTTTTTCGATACAAAAATATTCGCGTTTGATGCTTACCTTGGAAACTGTATTGGACGGAGTCGGCCAGTTAGCTGTAGATGTTATTGTCACATCTGTCCTTCTTCCAGGTTTCAACTGCTTCATTAATCTGATTGATGCATTCAGTTACAGCTTAGTAGGGTTGTTGATGATTTTAATTTGTGATAGGTACATTCCGGCTTTTTCTGGATTGGATTGGATTCTAAATTATCGTTAATTGAGAGCGTAGGTATACGCTGAGATGCAGTTGCGATCAATAGTGGATGATTGATCACATTGAAAATATTTCGAGTTGTCCTCAGATTGTACTGTTTCACAATTAGCATAGTTGTTGGATGATTAGATGAGCTTCTTGAGATCTGAATATAAACTGATTTACAAGAAGAAGTCTTGAGGGTGTGGGTGGTGGCGTTATCCACTACAACTTCGATAGTATGATTTTTAAAATCATTTTTAAATCGTAAGAGTTTGAACAAACGTTCGAATTGAGAAAGAATTGTGGAATTATCAAAATATGAGTTGTAACCGACGTCAATAGATCCTGTAGCAGTTTTCTCCATGTAATTAACGTCATCGTCATAATTGGCTAGTTCAGGAAATGTTTCTAATGCTTGCTTGTACTCTTTTTCATCTAATTTGAAAAAAGGACCCGATGGGTGCATTGCTCAATAATCACTAATTATGGCAGATCTTCCTCGACCTTTCGAAAAAACGTAGCTCTTTGCAGAAACTTCTCCTGAACGAAAAGTGGTTTCATCATGAACTAAAAGAAAACATCGGCACATATCCAAAAATGCGGCAGTGTTCAGATTTCTCTAAAAAGAAATTTCCAAAAATACCACATAATATACATAATACAAACTATACTTTTCCATCATACAATACATGATAAACTTCCATCTTTTAGAAATTTCAGGAATTTTAGAAATTATAATGTATTACATGATGTGTAGGAGGTAAACTCGGGGTAGGATAAGTAGAGAAATTATGAAAATTTCGGGAACTACAGAAATTTGACGTGAAACAATACATCATTCATTACATATCAGAGATAGACCCAGCGTAGGAGAAGTAGACAAATTTTAGAAATTTCTTTCCATTCAACCCGTGCCTTTCCTATCATCACTATCAAGAAGTCACATATAAATATCTGTAATTTTAGAAATTTCTAAAATTTGTCTGCAGTCTATCCATATCCTTCCTTCCATTACTATTAATCATTGATATATTTAATATTTGGAATTTCTGAAATTTCTATAAGTTCTGCTAGTTGTGTTGCATCTTGCTGAAATATCATTGCAATACAGTATTTCATTTTCAGAATTTTTTTTTCAGGAAATCTGAACATACCTAAAACTATTTGTTCTTGCAGTAGCTCGTGATAGTGACAGCTTATGTCTTACGACATGCTGGTGTGTTGTGTCACCTGCACATTCAAAAACGCGCCGTTTCTTTATTAAACATAACTTACAAACATAGTATCGCGCATGATATGTCAAAGAGAGGTCAAGGTCAATCTCCGTGAACGGGTTACACAGGTGCATTATACATATGCATTAACCGTTTACAGTGTATGTGTTGTTGGTGAGCGCGTGGTCGTACTAGTGGTGCTGGTGATGGTGGATGAGGATGCTGGCGCTGGTACCGATAATGTTGGTGATTCTGATGGTCCTGATACTGATACTGACGGTAGTGGTGGTGGTGATCCTGATGGTAGTGGTGGTGGTGATCCTGGTGGTGGGTGTGGTGATCCTGATGGTGGTGGTGGTGGTCCTGATGGTGGGTGTGGTGATCCTGATGGTGGTGGTGGTGATCCTGATGGTGGGTGTGGTGATCCTGATGGTAGTGGTGGTGGTGATCCTGGTGGTGGGTGTGGTGATCCTGATGGTGGTGGTGGTGGTCCTGATGGTGGGGGTGGTGATCCTGGTGGGGGTNTATATATATATATATATATATATGGCAGTTGGTTGAGGAATTCAGCTAAGTCTGGAATCGATAGAATCTAAAAACGATTTCTATATTTGTATTTTTTATTAGGAAAGGTAAAGATATAGCTAGTAAATCTGCATAATCATTTTAAAAAATAATACAAAAAAAAATTTTTTCGCTCATGAGACATGAGGGACATTGAAATTTGTATTCGAGACGAACAAACGAAAAGAAAAGAAAAGAAAAGAGGAAAGATTTTTATCCTTCAAACACAACTATTTCTCATGCGCAAGACAAACGGAACATTGAAAATTGTATTGGAAGAAAGAGAGAATATATTTTTCTGTTTCTTAGCGATGGGTGAGAGTGTGCGTACTAGCTGTTATGTCCGGTTTCGACTGGTTTTCACAGTCTCATCAAATGGCTAAACATTTGAAACGATTAAAAAACATTGAATTCAGTGAATGATGGGAAAAATCAACAAATATATGTCAAAGTCAAAGTAAATTGATTGTTTTGATGGTCTTATGTGATACTTGTTTACGGAGTGAATTTGAATTAGGTTGCCTTTTTCGATACAAAAATATTCGCGTTTGATGCTTACCTTGGAAACTGTGTATTGGACGGAGTCGGCCAGTTAGCTGTAGATGTTATTGTCACACCTGTCCTTCTTCCAGGTTTCAACTGCTTCATTAATCTGATTGATGCATTCAGTCACAGCTTAGCAAGGTTGTTGATGATTTTAATTTGTGATTGGTACATTCCGGCTTTTTTCTGGATTGGATTCTGAATGATCGTTGATTGAGCATCTCTGGTCATGATAAACGCTGACTACTTATGACTTTTGATCATTTTTTTTATATATTCGGTTGGATCTCAAACTATTTCGACTCGATTCGATTCATTGAAGACTCTTAAAAATTATTCCGGTTCAGCTCAGCTCGATATGCAAGCTTTTCGGTTTGGCTCGATTTCAAAAAACATCAATCGATCCCATCACTGATTACAATGATTTCTATAGAAACTATTTGTTCTTGCAGTAGCTCGTGATAGTGACAGCTTGTGTCTTACGACATGCTGATGTGTTGTGTCACCTGCACATTCAAAAACGCGCCGTTTCTTTATTAAACATAACTTATAAACATAGTATCGCGCATGATATGTCAAAGAGAGGTCAAGGTCAATCTCCGTGAACAGGTTACACAGGTGCATTAGAGACGTGCATTAACCGTTACAGTACTGGTGGTAGTGGTGGTACTGGTACTGGTGGTAGTGGTGGTACTGGTAGTGGTGGTACTGGTACTGGTGGTAGTGGTGGTACTGGTACTGGTGGTAGTGGTGGTACTGGTACTGGTGGTAGTGGTGGTACTGGTACTGGTGGTGGTGGTGGTACTGGTGGTGGTCCTGATACTGATGGTGATCTTGTTACTGTTGTTGTTGGTGGTGTTGTAGACAATCTTGATTCGGCTGCACTCGAAAGAAAGGAATACGATTAAACTGAATTTTTTCGTTGTCATAGACTAAATTCATTTTAAGCGGATTAATGGTGAAGCTAATACAAATAAACAAAGGGATAATCATTCAAGATTGACTTTGACGAATTCAAGTTGATTACAATATGTCGAAATGTGAAGAGTAGATTTAAGTGTGGTCTCACCTGAACTAATATTTCTTGGTAAAATAATCAAATCAAGTGATGCTAAAGTTTGCCGTATACTTCCACGAAATGCAANTCCTGATGGTGGTGGTGATCCTGATGGTGGGTGTGGTGATCCTGATGGTGGGTGTGGTGATCCTGATGGTGGTGGTGGTGATCCTGATGGTGGTGGTGATCCTGATGGTGGGTGTGGTGATCCTGATGGTGGGTGTGGTGATCCTGATGGTGGTGGTGGTGGTCCTGATGGTGGTGGTGATCCTGATGGTGGGTGTGGTGATCCTGATGGTGGGTGTGGTGATCCTGATGGTGGTGGTGGTCCTGATGGTGGTGGTGATCCTGATGGTGGGTGTGGTGGTGATGTTGTTATCATTGTTGTTGTTGTTGGTGTTGTAGACAATCTTGATTCAGCTGCACGCAAAAGAAAGGAATACGATTAAACTGAATTTTTTCGTTGTCATAGACTAAATTCATTTTAGGCGGATGAAAGGTGAAGCTAATACAAATAAACAAAAGGATAAGCATTCAAGATCGACTTTGACGAATTCAAGTTGATTACAATATGTCGAAATGTGAAGAGTAGATTTAAGTGTGGTCTCACCTGAACTAATATTTCTTGGTAAAATAATCAAATCAAGTGATGCTAAAGTTTGCCGTATACTTCCACAAAATGCAACGTAAGATAGAGTTCGATAACCCACATGTCTTTCATGAAGAATAAACGTGAAATCAGTGTCTGGTTGTTCATCCATGGTTTGGTTATCTAATAACCAGTTACAAATATAACCCAAAGGACATTGTACTGACACATGATAAGTTTGACTGATTGAATCAATTGAAAATGAACTTTCACCCGTTATTATTCCTTTAGAAACCTCTAGAGGAAATATTAGAAGTATGATCATTTACATATCTTTTTTACACTTCTCTTACCATTAGATGGCATTAATGGATGACTGGTAAAATGAAAAAAAAGATCTTTCAGAACAAAATTAGAATTTGGTAGCAATGTTAAATAACATTTCATATAAGCAAATTCATATTCTGGATGCATTAAATCCAGAAGATGTCCAAAATTATGAGCACTGGATATATAGCGTATCGGATTATTAAGTTCATCAAGGACATTATTTCCATTAATGTCATAAGGGATAAGTTCAACACTGATAATACGTCTTTTTTCGTTTAACTCTCCAATCAATAATCGTCCACTAGCATAATTGGTTACTTCTGAATTTAATTGAAATTCACAAATATTATCTCTTATAATACTATTTGTTAATATATTCGGTGAAGTAGAACATAAATATGTATCACCAACGTAGAAACTATCCAATGTTTCGTCCAAAGTTGCTAAAAACAAACAATAAATAATAAATTATTGTATTCTATATTTATAAACAGCTAACATGGTGTTAACATATTCATCGGATCAACATCAGCATCAGCATCAGAATCTATATTCTCTATGTAACTATTATCGTCTTCATTGCCATGCAAAACAATCTGCAAGAATTTAGATGAAAACATAAATATTTCAAAACTATATGTACTTACTATATACACTAATAGAAGCATAATTAAAGTACGAGACTTCATATTATTCAATTGATTGATGAGAATATCGAAGTAAATAATAGATATTATCTAAAATAGAAGAACCAACATTGATTTATTTCATAGAATAATTCTGATTATTTTTTGTATGAAAAATGTTGTCTTTTATACTGGCATTTTCTAAATATTATTTGTTATTCGTTAATTTATCGAACCCAAATGTATTGTACTTTATGTACACAATACACATTCCATCTGGATCTATTTGTGAGGAAAAAAATCGAATATACAGATAGAAGCAACAAACGAACAAAAATTGAAAGCAAATGTTTTCTTAAGAAATGCATTAGATAGAATGAATTTATCGACAATCTTGCGGGTGAGGGTGAGTTTTCACTTATCTGTGAGATGATTGATTGTCGACTATATAAATTATTGTATTAACATGATAAAATAAAATAAAATAAAAAGTTGATTGAATAAACTAGTAACGCTCGTCGAGGCAGACTCGCTATACCCTCGACTGAACCACTGACTGAAAATACAATAGTCTTATATGCATTTTATGCAAAAAAAGACAGAAGTATAACCTTTGAAAGGGTCTCCAGAGACTGATCTTCATTCGCCTCATAGTTTTCAAAAGAGTCAAAGGACTACTTGTGTTGCTTTTAATTATTCTATATTCCTGACTGACAATTACTCTTCACAGGAAGCAGAAGCTCGCTACAAATGATTATTATGGATTTGCACCTTACACACATCCTCCTTTTTCTAAAAGAAAGATAATTTCAGTGAGACCATTTTTCGATTACTGGCCTTTGGTATGCGACCGTCAACCCAGTGTGTTTTTTTTCGTAATTCGCTTTTTCTATGTATTCCTTCTCTCAGCCGCGGATGAAATGTTCTCTTTATCTCTGTCAGGTTCCTGTCCATTCCCGCCTCACCCAACCGGCCTCGAACCTCACGACCCCTCCCCAAACGACGTTTCATGAAGTTTCGAGCGTTTTCGAAAAAGATGTTTTTTGATCTTTAACCCTGCCACAAACAAACATAGAAACTATTTTTTGTCATATGACTAGGGGTGCAACGGTAACGGTTGTTCACCGTTTATCCGTAGACGGTTAACCGGTGTAAAACGATAACCGGGTCAAATGAAAATGAGGTTAAACAAAAACCGGGTCTAATGAGAATGAGGTTTAACGATAACCGGGTCTAATGAAAATGAGGTTTAACGATAACCGGGTCTAATGAAAATGAGGT